CAACACAGGCCCTGGACCCGATTCATCTCTGCACCTGTGACATCTCGCACAGGGCCTGAGATGCAGCAGGTGTCACAGCTGGTAGAAGAACTCTAGTAGGGCTTTATTGGAGTGTTCCCAAGGTCCTTAGGACCTGCCGTTACCGGAATGAGCACAGACTGTTAAATCAGTGTTGGGGATCTGGACTATGCTATAGGAGAGGCTTTGACAAACTCAAGTCTTTGGATCAGACAGGGAAATACACTCAGAAGAAAAAGTGGCTGAGGCATGAGGGTGCCTGTTGGTGAGGACTGTGGTACATAGAGAAGAATGAAGGACAACCCAGGTCTTAGCTCCAGCTACCTGCTGCCTTTCATGGCTGCAGAACACTCATCGGCTCTCTTCCAGCTTTCTCACAGAGGCCCAAATCTAGATCCTCCAAGCTAAACACTCAATTTAATCTTGCCTAGTCCACCAGAAATGGGTCCTTAGGGTGTGCAAGCCTAATTAGCATGCAACAGCTGCATGGGCTGCCCATGCTGACGAGGCACTTCCGACACTACCAGGCATGTGAAGAAGAGCGTGCAATAACTGGAGATCTCAGCACATGCCTCACCTCTTCTAGGCTATAGGGTCCCCAGGGACCCTGGGTCATGTATGAAGACATCCATGGTGGCCAGATAAAGTTGAAGGCTGGTGGATAAAGCTCAAGAATAAGGCTAAACATCCTTGATGTGGTATACAGGATAGCTTCTAGGGAGAAAGAATTGTCTACCTCAAAATATCAGCAAGGCCAAGGTGAAGAACTGTTTATTACAACAGTGGATTCCAACCCTGGTCACCTACTAAGAACACTTGAGGCTTAAAAGTCACATGCCAAAAATAAGGAAGGAGGAATGTCTGGGTAGGGCTCAGACCCTGTTGTAAAAGTCCCCAGGGATTCTAAGAAGGTGGAATCACCAGTTCCCAGCATGCCCCATGATGGAATCCTTCTTGCTCAGAACCCATTGAGTGCTTTGTTCAAACAGCGCTCAGTAAATATTTTGTGAACTGGATGGGGGTAGATCAGCCATCTGTCATTTACACCCTACAAACTGCTGTGCCTGGCTTATATTGACTTTTAACCTATTGGTGGCTAATAAAAGCTGTTTTTCCCTCGAGTCAATTATTCAGGCTATCAGACGGGTATAACTTCCGGCATATGAACATGCTTTCTGCCTGAATAATTACTTCTGAAAGTGAAAGGTATGCAAACAATCTGTGCAATATATTCCCACCAAAGGAGGCTGACAAAATTAACTCGTCTTTTTGTCATCCATCCTCACCACAGGCCATGACAAGATTTAGAAACGGAACAGCAAATGCAGGCTAGAAACTTCCACTGTTTTCGCTTGAGAGATGAAAGAAGAAAATGAAAAACAAACGGAAAAAAAAAAACCCAACTAAGACCGTCAAGAAAGTAAAGATAGGAACAGCTGATGCTGACTGGGTTTCGTTAGCATCTCAGTGATCTGATTGGTTGACTTGTTTGCATCTAATGCAGTTCTGGGGTAGACTTTTCAAGAGTCCTGATAGTATGGATGTGTGTGTGTGTGTGTGTGTGTGTGCATGTGCATGTGAGTGTGAGTGTGCGTGTGTGTTTTAATACCTGAATAAGGATAAGGGTGCACCTTGAAATTAGAACCATCCTGTCTACCTGCTTGTCAGCTGCTGCCCAAGACTATTACACACTGGAGTAACCTATTTGAAGTTGCATGGGAGCACCCAGGGACATTTGGGAAGTCTGGGCCTTTATCCCGAGCTCTATCTGGAACTGTGAGGGGGAAAAGGTCTACAACACAGTCCCATCCCTGAAACCAGGTGAGGGACTGAGATGCTGAAGTAAACGAGCCACTGGAACAGTTGAGCTTTAAATCTCGCTAGGTGAGAACAGGTGTGGTAGAAGGTGGGCGGGCACACACAGTGTCTTAATATCGGGCTGAGGTAGGAGACAGCACTGTTGGAGCAGGGAAAGTACAAAGAGAGGCTGAGCCCTGCGGGGTAGGCAAGACGGACCCACATCCACAGGGGAGACTATTCTATACAGCATGTGCAAAGGCCCGGTGGCAAAGGAGAGCAGCGTTTCACTGAGCAAGGGGTTGGTTAGGAGACAGGAGAAGAAGGGAGGTTGAGGCTGGAGAGGCAGCCAGGGCAGACATGAAGGCTTAATGTATTGAGTGTAGGCAGTGTGCATGAAGACGCTGTTTCCTGTAGAAAAAAAGGTCGGCATCCTGAAAATGAGTGGCTGAGTACAGAGAAAGATGCTGGGTTTGGCTCAGAGGGTCCCAGAATTCCACCACATTCTACTCTTTGATCCTGGTGAGCTAACACGGGTTTGTATGGAATAGTCATACATAGTCATACATACAGGCAGAGATACAGACAGGACAGAAGGGCCCAGGAAACTTACAGGGAAGGGCTGAGTCCACACAGAGACAGCCTGCTCTCTAGAGACAGGGAACGAAGCCATGGGAAATGGGGGGGGGGGGGGCTTCACATGGGGGAAGAGTCCTACTGAGTACCTTGAGGCCAGAAGGAAAGAAAGCTAAAAGAAGAAAAGGGGGAGGGGAGGGGGAAGGGAGCGTGGAGTCCCACACCAGGAACATAAGCTTTTGTTTGGTATTCCTTCAAAACACTGCCCAGAGATTCGAAAGACTCAAATTGCCATTTGCTCGTTCTTTGGATGTCATCCCAAGACTCCTCTTGACTAGAGGCCACAATGTCATGAGCCACAAGTGAAGCAGGGGAGCCCCATTACCTGGCCTGAACCAGGCTCTCAGCCTGCAGCTCCTGCAAGCTCCATAGTGGGTTGTCTTTAAGGCTTAGCTACTACAAAGGCCCCATTCAGGATGAACAGGACTGTCTCCAAAGCCAGGGCCACTTAGAGGCCTGCCTCAATGGTCAAGGAGTGAAACCCCATGACCATCCCAGAAGGCAAGGTGAGACTCCAAGTCACAGAGTGGAGAGCAGGTGTCTGGGGAATGAGAGGCATGTCCCGAACTCCGCCTTAGCCTGCTGTCCTGGCATGACACCCCTCAGCTATTCAGCTACCGCAGCCACAAGTGAACACACGGCTTGAAGAGGCTCAATAAACCTCTTAACCATGCAAGATCAGAGGAAATGCAGATCCTTCAGGTTTGGGTCAGTGTGCCCTAGAATAAAAGGCCTGTTGGGCCTCAGAACAAGGCTACACAGAGTCACATTAAGGGTCTATCACAGGACAATAGCTGAGGCTGTTAACAGAAATTTCTGGATATTAAAATGTCAATGGAGTTGTTCTTATGAGAAATAATAGCTTGTGCTTTTATTTGAACCACTCTTCGGGTCCCAACCCCCTTTTAATATTTACTTCCACTCACATAAAGAAATTGCTTTATCATCTAGTTTATAAAACTGGGTCCTCCCAGCCCCCAATCTGCAGTGATTTATTTTCTTTATAGAAAATGTTAATAACTGGCCAGGAATCTAAATCCTAAAAGCATGCAAAAATGAAATCTTTGAAAATGAAAACAAATGATTCATTTTTTTTTTCCTTTCAGGGAACTCCTGCTCTTTAAGATGCAGGAGGCAGGGCAGGGAAGAAAGAAATGACTCGAATTAGTTCCCTGAAAGCAGCCCCCTGGCAAGTATCTTTCCCTTCCCATCTGCGCAGTGTCTGAGAAATTATGAAGTACTTGTGAGGTAATAGTGTCCCTAGTTCAAGAAACCCAAAGATCAAAGACAGACACTTCTAGCAGATTACTGCAGCAAAAGAGACAAATAGACCCAGGAAGGAACAGGAGTCTGGAGACTCAAAGGCAAGAACTCCAAAGGGAGAAATAAGGTAGCAGGCATTCAAATAGGGTATTGAGGGATGAATAGGAGTTGTTCAGCTGGAGAGAGAGAAGGCTGAACAGCCATCTAGAGCAGTGGTTCTCAACCTTCCTAATGCTGTGACCCTTTAATACAGTTCCTCATGTTATGGTGGCCCCCAACTATAAAATTATCCTGGTTGCTACTTCATAATGGCAATTTAGGGACTGTTATGAACTGTAATGTCAATTTCTGTGTTTTCCAATGGTCTTAGGTGACCCCTATGAAAGGGTCTTGTGACTCCCAAGGGAGCATCACAACCCACAGATCTAGAGGGAGAGGAGACCTCTGGAGATGTGAGTTGAAGATGCACGTGAACCGGGCTCAGCGCTCTACAGGGCAGTGCGTGGAAGGGTCATCTGAAGTGTCACAGAAGTCCTCTGGCTGTAGTGTGGAAGACATCCCCGAAGGCGGCTGCCCTGGAAAGCTGGATCGGGGCCTGCTGCATGGGTCCAGACAGGAGGAGGGGACAGCCTGCACTGGGACAGTGGCAGCCTGGTACAGATGAGGAAGAGGTGGGGGCGGCACCTGGGAGGCGGGGACAACAGGACTGCACAGCAGGGCACTTGGTACCAGGTGTTCACACAGAGAATGCCGGATGATGGCCGGGGCGGGCGGCCAAAGGAAAACTTTGTGTTAAGGAGGAGGAAAATCAAAAGCATGGTGGGAAGAGAGAAGAGGTGCCAGACATTTAGCTGGGAAGAAAGAGGCAAAGGGAACGGAGCAGGCATGGAGGGGGCAGGGCTCCAGAGAGTCTTGGCGTTTTTCCATTTCTACTTACCTCTGTGGTGGGCAGCTCACCACCGCACACAGCTCAATTCCCTGCCACCTTTTATGAGTACCTCACGCCACATCCCCCCTTTTCCAGCTGCATATCCACAGTTGCCTTTGATTTTGACTTTCAGTTGCCCCGCGAAGTGTCTTAGGAGCCCGTTCGATTGAGCAAAGGCCCGAGGAGGAACTGCCTTGCCCTGTTAGCCTCCTGTTGGAGGACTCTTTCTTAGACCAGGGCAAAGAAAGAGCCAGGGCCAAGTGAAAAGAGGCGAGCCTGGAGCCTGGCCTGTGAGCAGCTGTGGCTGCCTGGATCCTACCCTCCCCCCACCCCCCCTGCAGCCGGAGGTTTCAATTACCGTACTATTGCAGCCAGCGAAGCAGGCTGACAGGTAGGTGATGCCGTCGGCCCCACACACCGGGGTGAAGGAATCGGTCTGGCATTCACAGTTCTTGTTGCAGGGAGAGTAGGGGTCCAGGGCCGGGCCACGTGCTGAGCTGGAAAAGAAGAGTTCAGGGGACTCTGTTAGGAGCTGGGATGGACCGGCACGGTTGATCACATCCTGCCATGATGGGCGCGGCGGTGTCCTCGCTCAGGGTGGTCTGCCTGTCCTTTCTCTCTTCAGTCTTCTTATCTCAGCCCTGGCTGACCTGGCCGTGTCTGTCCAGGGCCTCTGCCAAGAGCCCACACTGCTGTACCCCTTTAGGTCTTCCATCAAAGTGAGGGGGATATTATTATTTATTTATTTATTTTATTTTGTTTTTATTTTTTTGTAATTTCTAACCATGCATCCTTTGAGCTGATGGCAGCTGGGGCTTAACTTAGTGTTAGCCACTCCAGGACATTTTTCTAGATGGCTGCAGTCCGCCTTACCCCATAACTCCTCCTGCACCGCTGGACACCCCCCACACCCGCCTGTTTCTCTCTCTCTCCGGGCATGTAGGATGCCCAGCGTGGTTTCAATAGCCACTGTCTGGTTCATTACCCCATGATATATCTTGAATGCTAAGGTGCTTTATACTTATAGCCTGTGCATTGCGATGATGCAGTTACCAAGAGCACACAAACTGGGGAGACACGGGGAAATCCCAGAAGAAGGAAGTGACTTCAGCACCCCCACTTCCTGCTCTGTCTTAAGGCTCAGAGTACCTCCGGGTAACACAGGTGACTTGGGGACCCCTGGCTGTTTCTATCATGCTCTGTTGAAGGAACTCTACGTGTCATTTTGTTTGTTCCCAGTACAACCCCATAAGCTTTGTCAAAAGGGAAATCGAGGCTGGACCAGCTGAACCATTTGCCTCAAAGTATGTAGCGCCTGAGTGTCGAGAATGAGTTAGAGCTGGGTAGTGTGACCGCGGGCCTTGAACTGTTTATCTGTTTTTCATTTTTACAGCATGATGTCATTGCACCGTGACCCTGCGCATGGGATTCTAATCGCTGCGGTTTACTGCTCACGAGCTGAGCACAGTGAGGGCCGCTGTTCAGAGCCGAACGCCAACCGGAGCGGACTCTGGGTGCGAGAGGAACTGGGGGCTGCCTGAAGTGCACCCAGGTCCGTGAGAAGCTGCCTCTTGCTTTTCCTGTCACTCTCAAGGGGTGGCAGATGGGCCCCAGTTCTACCCAGTCTCCAGACTTCATTGCAGCCCAGGGGCCTGCCTGGAGGAGGGAGGAGCCTGACTGGGTAGCCTGCAGGGTAGCCATAGTGCAGCATGTCTGGGCTAGACTCCACAGCTCAAGGCGGTCTCAGAGTCCCATGAGGAAAGGAGACACTGGACAAAGAGATAACATATTCCTATGTATACATCCCATAATTTATTTGAAGAGCAATTGCTATGGGGACTCTGGTCCACAGTCCTGGGATAATAACCATGGCATAAGAAAAGAGACACCATAGCAACTGGCTGGTCCCTGCTCCCCCCCTCTTCCCCCACCACGCTCACCAAGGGCCAGACTTAGGAATGACTATGTGAGCTGGATAACAGCTTCCGGCTCATGTAGGAATTACTGAAATGGATTCTGCCCTTTATTTTAAGCTGAATTTTGAAATAAGGTTTGTTTTTTATTTTCTATCTTCACATTATTCCTGAGGTCAAATGTCAGAAAGAGCAAGTGGACTGGAGAATGAGTGACTGTCCTGCTCTTGGGGCTGTCTTGCCACGGTGGAGAAAAGGTCAGTTCTCAGAGGACAGGCTGAGTCTTCCAACTGCATGGAAGAAGCTGAGGCCTCCTGGGCTTCTCCACTCAGGATCACTAGTGACCAAGCCAGCTCTATTAGCTTCTGGTAGAGAGTCTTGATGTCCCTGAGCAGGGCTGAGCCAGCTCTATGAACCACAGTGAAGGTGTCCCTGGGCAGGGTCAAGCTAAGAGTTTAGGTACTTACTTGTTTCCATAGGGAACAGTGACCCCAGCCACAGGTCCCGTGTCACAGCCCAGGAAGAGGAAGGAGACGTAGCAGGCTGTGGACACTAGGTTGACCAGCATGGCCATCCGAATGGCCCCCAGAGCAGACAGGCTCAGCTTCTTCACCAAGAGGCCACCAAGGAAGATGCCCAGGCAGGCACAGGGAATTGCCGTCATCCCTGAAGAAGCAGAGCAGTGGGGTGTGAATAGCAGAAGGGGCTGGTGCATGTCAAGGGCCCTGTGACTTCATGTGACTCCAACGCCTTCATGAAGGGCCTGATTTCTGTCCTCGGAGAACTCCCAGAAAACAAGGGGAGATAGAGTTGGAAAAAGGTCAGTCATTGCGAGCCAACGTGCAAACAGCTGGAACGCCATACATGGTGCCATCCAAGAGGATGTATGTGTACAAGTTAATGTGGGTCCAACTAAGAGTTGAATCCAGAAAGCTGGGGACCTAGGTGTGAAATCCAGGAGATTAAATACTGGGGAGCAATGAGATGGTCTCTGCATTAGTATTTCTTTTTTTTTTTTTTGTTCTTTTTTGGTGTTTGGTGTTATTCTGTAGAGCAGGCTAGCTTCAAACACTTGGCGATCCTTTTACCTTATCTACTCAAGTGTTGGGATTAAAGGCATATCCTATCTAGTTCAATTTCTCTGTGAATTGTGTGTGTGGATATGTTTGTATGCATGTATATGTATGTGCCTGTGTTATGTGGAAGCCAGAGGATAACCTTGGGTGTCATTTCTCAGGCACCTGTTTTTGAGATGCCATCTCTCTCTTTTTGGCTTTTTTTTTCTTTCTGTATTTGGGTTCTGAGCATGTAGCACAGATCCTTAAGCGCCTTACCACATGAGCATCTCTGTGCATTTTTGCAGTGACCTGGAAAGGGGACTTGAGATCATCTGAGAGCTTGGGGCTGGGGAAATGGTTCAGTAGATAAAGGGACTGTCAAGGAAATGTGATGACTGGTGTTCAGATCCACAGAAGCCACACAAATGCCAAGCAGGTCTAGTGGCCTCTAATCTCAGCACACAGGAGGCAGAGATGGGATCCTGGGGACAAGCCATTTAGCTAGACTAGTGGAAACTGGCAAAGCTCCAAGCTCAGCGAGAGACCCTGCCTGAAAAGATGAAGTGGGGAGTAACTGAAGACATCCACATCAACTTCATGTCCACAACCACATTCCCATACATTTCAGTTGCAGACAGATACACACTTATTCATGTGAATACACATGGATCCACCATGCACACACAGACACACACACACACATACACACACACCTGCAGACCTATACAGACTTACACATGTGAACACACACACACACACGAAACACACACACACACACACACACACACACACACACACACACACACACACACACACTGAGAATTTTCTCTTCCTCTTCTAAGGAAGCACGGACAGTTCACAGGCTCCAAGGCTGTTTAAGCCCAAAGGCTGCAGGGCTCACACATCAGTGAGAACACCACTTAGCCAGTTCTGCCACACCTCAGGAAGCAGTGTCAATCAAATCACTGCATTCTGCAGCACTTGGTGAATAATTGGTGAGTACACACTCCCTCTCTCTCTTATACACAGAGTGATCTCCAAGGTAGCAGGCCCCAAACCTGTTCCCCAGGATTCCCAGAGACCCAGGGCACTGTCGGAGAACCAAAGGACCCTGCTGTCCCAATCTCCTCTTTGCTGTGGCTCTCTTCTGATTTATTTCATCTACAACTCGGCTTTAAATTACTGAGTGTCATTCATCTACTGTGTCGATTATGCATGGCCAATTTTCCAGTCTAGGCTGCCTCCTCCCTGCCAATCAACCAACCCCCAGGTCAATCGACTACATCAACCAGCTGGTATGTGCTGAGGGAAGGCAAATTAATTTTTCATATTAGGGTAAGAAAATAAAATTGGGAAGGCTTAGCTCACCAAGGCACTACCTTGGCCATGCTTAAAACAGACATAGGCCTGTGTGTCACTGGCTGTCTCTGACATCTGAGCTTAGTTTGCAGCCTTTAGTATGAGCATGGACATCATGACCTTGTCCTGTGTGCCTCCATCTCCAGCCCATGCCACTGACCACTCCAACAACATCCTCTTTTCCCACCTTTGCTCCCTGGAAAGTTCTAGGTGCCCAGGGTACCTCGGTCTTTGCATACACATTGGTTCTATTCCTAGGACATGCTTGTCTGTCTTTCCTGGGCTGGTCTTTCCCTCTTCCGAGAGGCTTCATCGGCCCCCACTCCTCTGATGACATGGACAGGGAATGTACAATCATCTTGAGGATCTGGGGCAGGGGACATGGCTCAGTGGATAAAACACCTGTGGTACAAGCGAGAGGGCCAGAGGTGGGATCTCAGGGGCCAGGTTAAAGCTGGGCAGGTCGTGGCCCACCTGGAACTGCACACCGTGGAGGAAGAGATGGGAATGTCCATGGTAAGCTGTCCAGCTGACCTAGCTGGTACTGGGAGCTCTGGGTTCAGTAACACTCTACCGTCATCCCTAGGCAGGACTCCTGTTTTCATGGCTCTCCCTGTCATCGAAAGCTGCCGTGTTTATTTTTGCCCGTCCTGTTTCTTCTTGCTCTCTTCCTCTACCAGCATGAAGTTTCCAGGAGGAAGGGCACCCTTTGGATCCCATTCAGTCCAGCCCAAATCCCACTGTCGAATACAGCACCCTGTGCCGGATGGTATTTAGGCATCCCTTTGAGAGTGCATGAATCTGTGAGGAGATCGGATCTGTGTGAATAAGCCTTGGTGACAACATGCCCACTCCCAGAGAGAGCATCCTGGGCTTTGTTTCATTTTCTAGTTGAGACAGTGGGGGTGTCACCTGGTGGTGATGGTAACCATGGCAACAACAGGTTTTCAGCACCTTTTCTCCCAGTCACGATTAGCTTCTCTTTCCCTTCCTCCATGGTGTGTGTCCATGTCCTTAACACCCCCGGCTGCGGTCAGAAGTTCCCAGGACCACAACTTCATCCTCATTATATTAACTTATGCAGATTGAGCCCTTTCAGTCTACACTCATAAATCAATGTCATCGGCCCCTGGATTGTCTACACTGCTCTTCTCTGAACTCTGACCCATCTGCTGATGACTTTGTGGGTGGCCCAGAGCCTTGTGTGCATAGACTGGGATAACTGCATGCCCACTATCTTCCAGGAGTACAGGAGCTGTTCTGAGAGCATCTCCCTACACCAGCCTCCCATAGTGCACTCTGCCCACCCCTCCTGCAGTGGGCTCTTCCCAGCACACACTGACTGGATCTATGCCATCGGCTGGGCATAGGGACAGGAGATGCCTGCTGCCTCGGCCTGCCTGCCTGGAGAATATGAAGAGCCCCCCCCCCCCCACTTCTTCCCACCTTGTTAAGCACTCTAACAAGCAGGAATCACTGGCAAACAGATGCTAGGTGGCAGAATTGTTTTTCTGACCTTCTGCCCTGGAGACTATTGATTTGTTTGTCGATAGAAAGCTTAGGCATTTGTTCCAGAAGAGGACCTGGTCCTGTAGACGCAACTGTGCCAACCCAATCAAAATGGAAGATGTGGCAACAGAGAAACCACATGGGAGAGAAACCCTGGGGTGCTGGAGGGCCAAACCCCAGATCCTAGAGAAGCAGAGACCACAGCTTCCACTACAGGGAGAGGTATTTTTCTCTTCCATCCCGCAGGTCTTACAAAGCTCACTGCATTTTGCTAATACTCTTACCGAAGAGTGGGTGGTGAGAATGACTAGTGAGAAGAGAGAAAAAAAAAGGATGCATTCCCCAGCAGTTTTCAGGGAGGAAAAACTATGGCATGTTGTCATGATGGTCAGGGTTTAAATTCCTTTTTTTTTTTTTTTTTGGTTTTTCGAGACAGGGTTTCTCTGTGTAGCTTTGCGCCTTTCCTGGAACTCGCTTTGGAGACCAGGCTGGCCTCGAACTCACAAAGATCCACCTGCCTCTGCCTCCCGAGTGCTGGGATTAAAGGCGTGCGCCACCACCGCCCGGCTTTAAATTCCTTTTTTAAACTGAGATGTGAAGCCTATAAGACCACCCTGGGGAACTTTCCAAAATGCAAACACCCCTCCAACCAGCCCTCAGGTCAAGCTTAGAACAATTCCAGATGCTTGAGGCTTGGGAATGCTTGATCCTCAGCACTTTCCTAAGGGCCAGGTATAGGGGCACATACGTGGAAGCCCAGTGCTGGGTTATAGGGAGACATGCGGAGCCCAGCAGCATGCTGGCCCGCAGGTTCAGCCGGACAGAGACTTTGCATGGAAAACCAAGGTGGAGAAGAACTGAAGAAGACAACTGCTGTTGATCTCTGACCCCCACATGCACGGATGTGAATGTGTACCCATACACACACACACACACACACACACACACACACACACACACACACACACACACACACTTGCAGCTGCCTAGGAGACTCCTGGGTACCTCTCCCTAATTGTAACCTTCAAGGACAACTGTGGCTCTAGCTTCTTTTATCTTAATGGACAATTCTTTTTTTTTTTTTCCAAGTCCCATAAATACATTCTCTTTGTGTGTGACATATTTAAACTCATATCCATTTACATGGAAGCCCGTGTGAGAGTTCGTCCTTTCCCAAGCTGTGTGGTATAGAATGAACAGTCTATAGTTTATTTACCCATTCTGCTGTAGACAGACATTTGGGTGAGCTCCAGTTTGAGACAATTATGCATAAAACTGCTCGGAACGTTGTTATATATGCATATGTAAATGAGTGGACCTAAACACTCCATTCTGTTGGATAAGTGCCCAGAAACAGAACTGATGGATCACAGCACAGGCATATGCTGAGCTTTAATGGATGGTGCAAAAACTGCCCCAAGCAGAGGCTCCCTCGTGCATTCCCATCACAGTGTGGATTCCAGTTCCTCCTCATCCTCCCCAGCACTCGGGGCTATCATCTGGCTACTGTGTCAGAGCACCCCCTTGAGGTTTCAATGTGCATTTCTCTCCACACGCTGGCCAGCATCTTGGCATTTATCGGCCATTTTGGGAAGCAACAGGAGGAATCTCTCTCTTTCCTTCTCCGTGTGTGTGTGTGTGTGTGTGTGTGTGTGTGTGTGTGTGTGTGTGTGTGTGTGTGTGTGTGTGTGTTTCTATGCATGCACAGGTGTACGTGGGTGTGTGGAGGCTGGAGGCTGAAGTCAGGTACCTTTATCTATGGCTCTTCACTTTATTTTAAAATTTTCTTCTATTTTATGTATATGGGCAGCTTACCTGCATGTATGCTTGTGTTCCACATGTATGCCTGGTGCCCACAGGCCAGAAGAGAAGCGCTGAATCCCTCAAAACTGGAGTTATTAGCAGTTGTGAGCTACCATGTGGGTGGTGGAAACTTAACCTGGGTACCCTGAAAGAGCAGCCAGTGATCTTTACCTCTGAGCCATCTTTCTAGCTCCTCCACCCTTTTTCTGAGATGGGTAGCTCACTGAACTCAAGAGTTTACCTATTGGCTAGACTGTCTGGGTTTGATGCCTAGCACCCACATGGTGGCTCACAACCATCTATAATTCTAGTTCAAAGGGATCCCACACCCTCTTCTGACCTGCAGGCACCTTGAATGCATATGGTGCACACATATCCATTCTGGCAAAGCACACATATCTAAAATAAAGTAAGAAACCTTTGAAAAAAAAAAGTAACTCCTGGGGCTGTAGAAATAGTTCAATTGGTAAAGTCCCTGCTGTGGGTTTTATGGGTTTTATGTTGCTAAGATCATTCCTATAGTCTAATAAAAATTTACTAATCTCTTAAGATGGACTTTGATTGCTTCCTTCCATCATTACGTACTTCACGGTCTCCCATTCATATCAATCAAGTGACATCCTGGTCTCTCACAATGCTTCCTATATATACTTTCTATTTTTGTTATTGATGATGATGATGCTGATGATGATGGCGGCTGTGTGTGTCATGGTACCCATGTGGTCAGAAGACAGCTTTAGGAGTTGGTTCTCTCCTCCAACTGTGGGTTCCGGGTATCGAACCTGGGTCATCAGCCATGAGCAACAAACAAATGCTTTCCCTGCTAAGCCATCTCACTGGCCTTACAGTATGTTTTTCATATTTGCCTCAAGTGTGAAAAATCTCACTCCGAAATTCCTTGTGTAGAAAGGCCACAGGTATACCACACTGCTTAGCATAGCCCTGCACACTTTTTGGATCTCGGCGCTTTCTTTGAGCATTTGGGTTTGACAGGAGGGCAAAGAGACCCACTCACCGAGCAGCTGGTTGGCAGAGGAAGTGGTGAGGTTAAACTGCTGTTCCAGGTACTTGCCCAGGAAAGCAGCGAAGCCAGCCACCACAGCGATCTCCATGCAGGCAGCCAGGACGATGCAGGTGAACACGGGGTTTGAGAGCAGGTGCTTGGTGACCTTGGGGATCACTGTGGGGAGGGGCAGAAAGCAAGGTCAAAGTCACACGTGTTGGGTGCCTTATTAGAGATCCCGTCTTGATGCATTCTTGCCTGTGTCTTTAAACAACACCCAGAGGCACCTGGTGGCTCAGGGCAGAGTCTATCCTGTAGGACATTCGTAACTGTGAGAACTCTGGCTTCAAAACACATACCAACATCCCACAAAATAAGCCATTTTCTATTAAAATGGGCCACTCTACCTGGCTTGTTCAACACCACAACTTCAGGGGTTCACATGAGATAGTCAGGCACCTTTTAAGGAATTACAAGATTTTTTTTGTCCCCCACTCTGCTCTAAAAGGAAATTGGTTATGATTTTTTATATATATTCTAAATTTTATACATCAAAATATTTAGGTATATGTCAATATGCCCAATATATGAGCAATATTTAGAACTATAATCTATTTGTACAATGAGAAATATGTTTGAACCTCATCAGTGTCAAGAAAGAAATGAAGCTCTCATCCTTTACCAAATAGGTATGAACCAAATCAAGTTTCCCCTCCACCCCATCAGCTCTTACCTGCAGGGCCAGAGCAACCCATGAGGGTCTGAGCTATCAACCTTGATTTGATCACACCCTCCATAGTAACTAGTGAGATCACCTTGGAGTTTTTGCTGCTCAAGTGTCCACAGCAGGTAATCTCTGGCTTATAGTCTGGTCATTCAGCTTTTGGTCTACTTCATGGTGCTGGGATAGTTCCAGGATGCTCTACCCTCCCTCCATCCCCATCCCTAGACTTTGATCCCTTCTCAGCTGCATCTACATCTTATACTAGGTCTCTTCTCCCAAACTTTTACCACACACATACCCTGCCTCTCAGGTGGGCTTTCCTCATTGTCCAATCTAACCTGGAAGAGGCTCCCAGATAGCCACAGGTGCTTAGGGACTCACGAGCATTGGCTTTTGGCATACACACTCGAAGCCGTGTAACCATGTTAAATCTCAGCGGAGTCTGAGAGTGGTGTGCAGAGGCTGTATGCTTCCATCTTATTTATGGCACTCTACTTCCCTTACAATAGGTTTCATAAGCCACCGAAATTTCCTCTTTTATCAGTGCTTCTAAAAATCGGAGATATGTCTTTGTACTTTGAAAATAAGTACACTGCTTAGGCTTCCAGTAATTAGAATCCTTGGCACATGGTCTTCAACCAGCTTTCCTCAATGATGCTGTGATGGTATATCCTGGATGATGCTAGATCAGCCCTGTCTTTTCAGCATTGACGCCTTTACTATTTATTGAGTGTGTGTGTGTGTGTGTGTGTGTGTGTGTGTGTGTGTGTGTGTGTGTGTGTGTGAATGCAGATGCATGGATGCCAAGGCATGCCTATGGAGGTCAGCCTTGGCTGTCAGTCCTTGTCATTCACTTTGAGACAGTCATCTCCTTCTTGTCTTCCTGCCACACATGCCAGGTTCGATTCTGCAGAGCTTCTGTGGAGTCTCTTGTCTCTGCCTCCCACCTCCAAGAAGTTAGAAAACTTGTGCTGTTCATCCAGCCTCTACATAGATTCTGGGGATTCAAACTCAGGTCCTTAGACTTGCATGGCAAGCACTTTTACCCACTGACCCATCTCAGACTCTACACATTTATTTGGGCGTCTCTGCTGGACACCAAAATCTATACATGCTCAGATCTATTATAAAGAACAGTATACTGCTTGTCTGTAACTCACGCCCATCCTCTCATGTACCTTACGCCATCTCTAAACTACGAACATCAAGTACAAGGCAAATGCTATGCAAGCAGTTGCTAGAGCACATTGTGTAGGGGACCATGATAATGACGAAGTCTATACTTGTTCAGTACAGATGCAGCTTTCCGTGGAGTGCATTTCAAGCAGCAGTTGGTTAGGTCTGTGGATGTAGGACTTACACAGATGGAAGCCAGTGGTATTTACAAAATAATTAACCAAATAGAGCTGATTCATCAAGTGCTATGGCTTAAGACAAGTAAACTGATTTCAAGTAATTTGAAGACATCTTGTGTAAATCATAAATAATTCTCTATAAATAGTAAGGATAGAGGTGAGATGTAGGTTACAGCAAACATTGTCCAAGTGCTGGGCTGAGATTAGACTTGGGGCTGGCTGGGAATGTGGCTCGGTTGGTAGAGTGGCTGGCTTCGCATGCACACAGCCTTGGGTTTGATCTCCAGGGCTGCACAAAGCAGGTGTGGGGGCACATGCTGGCAATCCCAGCCCCCGGGAGGTAGAAGCAGGAGGATCAGAGTTCAAGATTGTTCTCCGCTACATAATGGGTTCGGGGCCAGCCTGAAACACGTGAGATCCTGTCTCATGCAAAAAAGGAGCATTATATTTTGCTATACTCGTATTAATAACAAAAATGAGGCATAGTGGCAGGGTGCACTGGTTTCTCCCTGTGCACATGGAAAAGATCAGACACAGAGACTCCTGTAAAGTCAGACTAAGTGTTAGAGAAACCCAACGAAGGGCCTGTGGCCATGTTAAATAAAAAGGTGGGCTGAGAGCCCAACCCTGCACTCCAAGGTGATGAGTTAGCCAGCTGTCCTGAAGAAGAGAGCTAATTACACAGGCCCAATTGCATCTCCTAGGAGACAGAACCTCCAAATGGCCCATCTAATTAGAATAAAATAATAATAGGAGACACATAAGTTTTTAATAACGTTAACAGACAAGCTCAATGCATCAAAATGACAGAACAATAGGCCAGGGACTGGCAGGCATACAAAACTTAAAATTTATCATCTCTGGGAAAGATATCAAGTTTCCAAAGTGAAACTCTCCAGAGGCGGGGGGTGGGGGGGTATTGGAGGGATTTAGTTATAGCCGTGTGCTGGACCAGATGACTGGAAGCCCGGGATTACCGTGGACGGAGCCCTGGATCCGACATCCGAAGGGACACAGTCAACAACCAGAGTTGGTGGCCTCGGTTGTTCTACTTGTGTTTCTGAGGCTTTAGGAAGGCAGCTTTGGGGTTAACTGAATGTGCAAAAAAAAAAAAAAAATTAAAGCCAAAACTTTACAAAGGGTATGAACAAAGATGGTAAACAAGCAGCTTCAAGTCCCTGGACTTGAAGCCCGTACATTGTGCTTAGAGTCTCCTGGTCTTTATGGGCACGCTGTGTGTATACTTTACAGGCCTTTAAACATTTATGGCAATCTGACTTTTAGAAGTATCATTTCAAATAAATGCCTAGGAGTGTTTGCTTTTAAAATCTGTGTTTAAATGTTAAGAAACTTACCTTTGTTAAATCCATATTGTTTTTAAGTAGTGTACAAATACTCAGGGAACTGTTGACTCTCCAGCATTTAAAGTGTAGCTTAACCAATGCAGAAAATGACCACAATGGGCATACACAGAGGGCGATTTGTTCTTCATGGACAAAGGTGCTTTGGGTATTAAGACTGCATCATGGTAAGTCGCTGCTGGTGGGCCAAGGCAAACTTGAGACAGTGTGGGCCAAGCATGAGGCTGTTTTGTACCCAGAATAAGGGGCTGGTGGGTCAGAGCCACACACTGTAGAGCGAGCAGTACAGATCACACCATGCTGTCACAGCACCTCCCTGGAAGGGGTGAGTATGAAGCAAAGATTTGGCTGCTGTTGTGTCATGGCAGACACCACTGTTGGGTGTCTAGGCTCTTTCAGAAAGATGACATCTACTCGGGAAAGCACGGCCAACAGCGAAGGGAGCAGGTTTGGGACAATCCAGCTAGATGGTTCTCCACCATGCTTTCACTGTAGCTTTCATTTCCTCAGTTGGAGGGCAGGCTCTGCCGAGTGGGACTCCAGAAGAATGAGGAGCTTTGCACTCCCCCGGACCACACCACCAGGAGCCTCCGACAGCAGAGTTTATCGGGCTCCCAAATGACACGGATGATGATTTGAGTCCATTACTTCATCTCTTTTGACCTCAGTATGGCCTTAATCGTCATCAGAATCCTCCTGATCTGTTTGAGGGTAGGAAGGGCTCTGGCCCCATGAAGGCGATTCCAGTTAACAGAACATTTCCATACTTCTGCAGGCTTTTAATTATTCCGGAGTTCATTCCATTCTGCAAGAAGGGCTCCTTGTTAAGACAGGAGCCTTCCTGCTTGTCTTAATGCCTAGTGACTAACTTCTCCTTCAATTAGATGTGAAAATCATTCAGTTCAAGAATCACTGGACTGAAGGAAGGCTGGGACACCTTACTTGCATGACCCTTTTCTCTCTGTAGCCCAGCTGACTGGCTTCCAGAAATGACAGCTTCCTCCGGCATTCTTCCTCCCATCCACAATTTTATGGCAACAACTTGTAGCTATCAAAAGCAGACTCTTTTTTCACAGGGTCAGCCCACCTTCCATACCCCCAGCTTGGCAATGAGGCCTTAATTAGCTTGATTGTGGGGCTGTCCTAGTGCTTCAGGTGGCCTGCTAAGCCCATGAAAGCCAGCCTTTCAAGGAAGGAGTGGCTCATGAGTGGCCCAGACAAGCAGAGACTGCTGGACCAACGCCACAACAGGCCACTGGACACCTGCAGCCTCCTTTAGCCATTTAATTCTCCCTTACTGAGTTGGCCTTGGTACTGGAGCTGAGGTGTAAGGGGTTGGATTGAATCCTGCAGTTCTACCAACTGGAGAAACCTTTCCAGCTCTCCCTGGGAGTCCACTGCTGTCACAATGGGAACTAGCCCAGGGAAGCCGGTTCCATGGAAAGCATGCTGCCTACTGTGAGCCCTCAGAAAACATTCCTGTGGGACAGAGGATTGCCATTCATTGGTGGGTCCCAATCCACCAATGGGCAGATCTGGGGACACCCTAAGGACTAATGTCATTAGAACCTTGTCTATGCCCTAAGTGTTACTGCATATAGTGTCATTAGCATATTGCCAATGTGCTAATGTCATCCTAAGTGGTTACCATCAACACACTGACTCACAACACAACCCTCACAATAAACATGAGCTTGGAACCACTGAAATGCTCCATTTACAAATGAGGAAACTGAG